AGCCAGGCTTCCGCACCTATGGGAACCGGGGGAGGTTAACGCCTGTTCCACGCCTGCGCATGCGGACTAAGATGGCGGCGGCGGCGGCCAGGCTGGGCTGGGGAGCTGCGGCCGCTGCTGCCAGGCTGCGGAGGCGGTAGGTGATGAGCCCGGGGCGACGAATAGGGGTGCCGCTGGCTCACCCAGCAGAGCAGCCGCCGCTCCGCCCGCTGTCTCTGTCTCTCTCTCTCGACGGGGTGGAGAAAAGTGCCTCTGACCTAGACGTTAGGTCCGCCCGCGTCGCCGAAGTTGGGGGTTTAACCCTGAGGTGGGCGGCTCTCGGCGAGGCAGCTCTGCGACCGCGGGTCTCGCGGACTCTGCGGTGCCTTGTCCCAGCCGCCAAGACCCGGGGCCTGAGCCCCTGCGCTGGGGAGGCTCAGACCGGCCGTAGGCACCCAGCGGAGGAGCTCTGTTTACATCGTGTGGCTCCTCCAGCCCATCCACCACGTGCATTCCCCCCCCCCCCCCTGCCTTTTAAACACAAAATCAGAATATCAAAGTGTCACTTGTTTTCTCAGGGAGGCCCAGAACGCTGATGAGCATCCAGAACCCTAGGTTTCCTCCCCTCTCCAACTAAACCCACTCCGTTCCCTTGTTTCCTCTTTTTGCATTTGCCCTGCCTTTGAGTTTGGCCTCTCAGTGACATCTGTCAACGTTGGTTAGGTGAAAGGCATGGGCGACTTAAGTAAGTGTTGTGCCCTGATTTGTGGAGCAAAAGGAGAAAAGGGCCGAAGAAGGCTTGACCTCCTGAGTGTTAGGAGTTTTACTGTTAATGATGCTCTTGAAGTTGAATTGCATTTCCAAAAAAGTTTGGTTTGCGGAAGGATTTGTGAGTCCCTCCCTTTCTTACTTTTTGAGTGGATGTCACCCTGGAATAATTTAACTCATCTTTCGTATTTTACTACTATAAACCCATCTCTGTCAGATGTTTATCCATTCTGTCTTTTCCCTGGGCCGAAAGGAAATTTCCATATTCCAGATGTATGTCCTGTCTTTGGTTTCTTTCCATATTCCAGAGTATCCACGATTTAGGCAGTGAGCTATAGGTAAAAATGTTTTCACCCCAAACCTTAAACTCCATTCAGTAAATAATTATTGGGCACTTATCACATAATAATAATAGTTGCAGCTAACATTTATTAAACACGTACTACGTGGCCTAGCACTGTTCTAAGCACTTTACATGGATTATCGGATTCATCTTTCTCCCAGTCTTTATGAGATAGCTGTGAATATTAACTTCATTTTAGGTATGAGAAACTGAGGTAGGTCCTTATGATAGCTGCTAGGGACAAAAATGAACTTAGTCCCTCCTCTTTATGAGTTTGCAGGTGAAAATAATCAGAGACATGTAAAAAAAAAGTGAATATATATATATATATGCTTGAAATTCCCCAGTGAATTCTGTAAAATTGGATAGCAATAGTACTTTAAAGTAAACTGGATTTTAAAGTAACTTGTATCAGATTTCAAAAAGTTTTCACTGCTAACATCTCTTACGTTCTTTTCCAGTAATACTTGTTTTTCCCTTCTCTCTTTGTTTTTCATTTGTCAAAGCCATGAAAAAATAGCCATTCGACTTTGGAGGATTTGTTAACTGCTAATTTCACTCTCAGTGAAAAAGCATGTATGGGGGATGGAGTGGGTATAGCTCAGTGGTAGAATGCATCCTAGGCATGCACAAGGTCCTGGGTTCAATCCCCGGTTCCTCCATTAAAAAATAAAAATAAATAAATAAGCCTAATTATTTCCCTGCCAAACAAAACAAAAAAGGCGTGTAGACTGTTGGCTTCTTTAAGAAGCTTGTTGGAGAATAGTATATTTCCTGTTAGACTTTCTGAAGTATTGACATATCTTTCAAAACAGATAGCAGAGGTTATCTCTTTCTAGGGAAACATGGTGCTGGAACCCAAAAAGGAGGGAGACTTTTCACTGTATTTATTTTTGTTCCCTTTGAATTTTGAACCATGTGAGTCTATTACCTAGTCTTCTTAATCTAAAAAGGGAAAAACAGTTTGTAGTTCTTTGCCTCCTTCAATGTATACCTAAGAGTCTGGGACTCCAGGTTATAAATCACTAAGGTAGATGCATTTCTGTACTGCACTATTCTGTATGCACTCAAAGCTGTAAACTTCCCCTTGAGCTCTTATTTGTATACTGTTTGTAGATACTGCTTGCCTAAGGGAGTGGAAATACTGTGGATGGAAAATAAAAATTCAGCTTTGTTATTATTTTCATTATGTTTTTTTCATATATGAGAAGTAGAAACTTGAGCTTAAAAGATTATCTCTTAAAATGTCATTTGTATGTTTTTAAATGTAGATTCTGTCAGATGATGAGTCCATGTACCATGAAGAAACAGCCTCTGCATCAGTTTGTCCAAAGACCACTTTTCCGTGCAACCTTATGTAACACAGGTAAAAGTTCATCTCTTTTAGAGCAAATTGTGTTTCAGAAGCTAATGATACTGTACTTGAATGAAATTTTGTGGGTCGTGAAAGATGAGAATTTTCTATTCAGATGCCTATAAAAAACATAGCACATTTTCTATCATAAATTTCACTTTACCATAATAATTGGCTTATGCATATCATTTGTCATTAAATTTCGAGAATCCTGAATATAGGGTCCAGTAGATCTATGAAATCTCAGTATATTGTATAACACATCTTCTGAAACATAAGAATTGCTCAATAAATGATTTCTGAAATGAAAATATTGTAAAAAGAAGGTACACATGGTTTGTGCGTCAATCACATGTGTTGTAAGCTATTGCCCTCATTTGATAAGAATATGTCTAAAATCAGTAAGTTTCTAACTTTCTTCTAGGCCTTAGACCGTAGTACTTTGTAGTTTTTCTTTTTTGTGTCAAAATTAGTCACTATGGTTTTGTTGACAATCTTGTTAATGTTACATGCTTTTATTTTCTTTACTATTGGAAACGAGGATGAAGGTAGGATTTAAAAAGTATTGAAATGTGACAACTGTCATGTGGTTAGGGAACCGTAGGGGGAGGGTGTGTGTGTGTCTGTAAATATCTACCTCTATGTGCTTACGGAGCTGGAGGAGTTTAGGTTCAGCTCTTGGCCCATCTCCATTTCCATCACTACCTTGAACTCCTCGTGGCCATGCTCCGGAAGGCTGGCTAATGGTGTGAGTTGGATCAGGGTAGAGCCCTTACTGCCTCTGTATACTGGGGCAGGAACAGGGGTGCCTTGTCTGTCTCCCTGAGTCACAGAATAATTTAGGCATAAATGTTGAGTAACTCAGCATGTTAAGCTACTTTAAATGGACTTTTACATTTTGTAGAACTGAATTATGTTCTACATAATTCATCTAGGCTTATGTCATCTAGGCTTTTTGAATTAGAAATCCGCTGATTTTAGTCTTTGATACTGACTTCAAGCACCGTTAATCTGTATTTTGGGGGAACTTATGGCTCCCTATTTGTCTATTATACCAAGCATAATAGGAAGGATTATTTTTAGATCAGTCTCTCGATTACATCGTAACCCTTACGACGCTTTCAGGGGCATGTTTCTGGATGATGGATTGAGAGTCATTTTTGAAATACTTAAACCCAGTTTAGACTATAATTGGAATAATTTTGTTAATACCTAGTCAGACTACTCTTTTGAAATAGTTTTATTCATTGTCAAAAGAGAACATTTATGTAGTGATGGCATATGTTGTCATATTTTCCACTTCACACATTATATGTAGATTATATTCTCTTATTTTTTACATTTATAGTTCTTCAAATATTTAAAAAACATTTTCTTTCAGCATGTATCATTTTACACAAGTGGATTAAGTAGAATAAAGGCAGATTAAATACTTCAAATACTGGCAGGGTGCCTGATTTTGTGGGGATTTTGGTTACCAATAAATTATTTAGAAGGGCCATAGAAATAATTGGTCAGTATCAGAGTTAAAAGAACCTTGTTGTCTTTATATTTAGAGAAAGCAGTGGCAGCTTTTTTTTTTAATGTTCCACTTAAAAACTGTTCTCTTGTAATGCAGATTGTCAGAGGAATTTATTGGTGAGGTATAAATATTTTAAATCAAGTACTTTGACATTGAGGTTATCATTTAAAATTTTTCTCTTTTTTTAGGATTTGCCTGGTCGCCAAATCACCAACTGATATCTTTATAGGACAATGACTTACACAAAATGTCTGAAAGTTTAGTTTCAATTTTTACTTTACTGAAGAAATGACTCAACACCAGTTAGCAGGAACTGCATGGCGAGGTGCAAAAACAACTCTCATCTGTCAAATTAGCATCTTCTCTTGTAATAGTTAAGAAAAGCATTTTTATACCAACCATATGTTTTGCCAAATTTAATCTCTAATTTAAAATAAAACTGTTGCGTTTTGATATTTTATTCTTTCTTCAGAAATGCAGTATGAGGATTATGACAGGATGGAGAGACTGATCTTAAGTATATTTTCCTTTTATGCTTGGCACTAATAAGTGTGGAGCGGCAGTCTGTGCAGTGGTTAAGCAAGTCAGTGCCGGAAGACTGGCCGGGCTTCAATCCTGGCTCTGTCACTTAACTAGCTGAGCGATGGGGAGCTTTAGTTTCCTCATTTATAAATTAGGACATAAACAGTGCCTCCTTGGCAGGATGTAAGGATTAAATGATATAATTCAGGTAGCGTGCTTACCACTGTTTCTAGCACATGGTAATTATTTGATAAATTAACCTATTTCAATGAACTGCTCTAAGATGAGAATCAGGTGGGTTTTTTTTTTAAGTCAGAAGGCATCATAAATAACCAGGGCCTATTTAGTAGTTTTAAAATATTAAAACCCCAGTACTATCCTTCTGTTATCATAGTAAGTAGAAAATTAAAGATTGTTATTCTCAATCTAATCAAGGCCCTAGAAGGAACAGAGAAGAAAAGAACCTGTAAAGATAATTAAAAAAATTTTTTTTGGTTTTGGTGGGGGAGGTAACTAGGTTTTATTTATTTATTCATTCATTCATTCATTCATTTAATTTTTAAACAGAGGTACTGGGCATTGAACCCAGGACTTCCTGTATGCCAAGCAGCAGCTCTGCCACTGAGCTATACTCTCCCCCGACCATAAAGATAATTTAAAAATATTCCAGAAAGTGATTCACATAGATTCCCACTTCCATGATAATATATAATGTCACTAACTCTATACCATTGGGCAAGCTACTTCAAGCTAAATGATGTAACAAGTTATTTATCTTTAAGTCTCAGTTTCTTCATTTGTGAAACAAGAATAATAATACCTTCTTCATAGGGTTACTAAATGCTTAAATACACTTAAAGCACTCAACCCTGTCTCTGGCATGTAATAAGTAAGCATAAAATAAACATTCGTTGTTATTATTATTATGTTTGTCTTTAAAAAAATGATTGCACACTGGAAAATAGCGATGACTTGTGATTATAGCCAAGTTGGTACTATTACCAAACAGAATACATATAAGACTCCCGAATTATGATGTGCTTTCCTACTTAAGTGTAGGATATTGCTAGAATCTGTTGAGTAACAAAACTATCTAAATATGAGTATAAAATTCAATGCAGTTATCCAAATATTTTGATTAATTTCTTTCTTTAACAATTCTTATTTTATCAGCTTGGGCAATAAAATTTTATTTTATTTTTTTCTAATTTTTCTTATTTCTTTCGATTCTTTCTTATTTCTTTTGAAACTCATAGTCCATAAACTTCCTAAGTCCCTAAACTTGTTAACTGTTTTTTTCTAGAATAACATTCTTTCTTCTTTTTTCTCTTTTAGTAAGATACATGTTTATTCAAACACAAGATACCCCAAATCCCAACAGTTTAAAGTTTATTCCGGGAAAACCAGTTCTGGAGACAAGGACCATGGATTTTCCCACGCCAGCTACAGCATTTCGCTCTCCGCTGGCTAGGTATGTTGCTGTTTTTCATTTACTTTTACCAGGAGACATAAATAACTGACTTTGGGGTTAAGGTAGCCTTATTTAGCTATTGCATTTTTATGTGCACTGCATTTTTTTCAGTGTAGAGAACACTTTTCAGGTAAACGATTAAGAAAAGTAGAGTTGCCGTTAGGAAACCCTTCTCCTGAGAAGTGATGTCCTTGGCAGGCCCGTAGCATGACTAAATAAGAAGTTATATTTTTACTCAAAAAAAGATAATCCATCAGAATGATAGTATGTTACATTTCCATTCTAAATCTTTAAAACTCTGTTTTTAAGAAGGAATGAAAACGTGCTCACTGTATTCTTAAAAATAGCTGAATTTCTAGATGTTTCAAAATGGGAGTAGTTTTGAAAATATTCCACTCAGAACTATAAATAATAGTTACCAGATATGATGGTTTTTTCTTAAAGCAGTAAGTGGTGACAGTTTTTATTTTTGTTGACTTATTTTTATTGAAGTATAGTTGATTTACAATATTGTGTTAGTTTCCGGTGTACCACAAAGTGATTCAGTCACTTTTTTTTCAGATTATGTTCCGTTATAGGTTATTACAAGATAGTGAATACAATTCCCTGTGCTATACAGTAGTTCCTTGTTGCTTATCTATTTTGTATATAGTAATTTGTATCTGTTAATCCCATATTCCTAATCGGTCTCCGTTCCCTCCCTCTCCCCTTTGGTAACCACAAGTTTGTTTTCTATGCCCGTGAATTTGTTTCTGTTTTGTGTATAAATGGATTTGTTGTGTTTTTTAGGTACCACATACAAGTGCTATAGCATTTGTCTTTGACTTACTTCACTAGGTATAATGCCCTCTAG